GGGGGGGGGGGGTGGCACCATTCCCTGTGCATCACAGCCACAAAGCCCTTTGGGGATTTCGGGCCACCCCAAAAAAGAGGCTCAGCCAGGCGGAATCCCTCCCAGCAGCGCTTGCTAGGGGGACACGAGAATTTGGGGAGGGGGATAATGGAAGGGGAGATGGAAAAGCAGGAACAGGGAAGGGGAGCCACACCCCCCCCCAAATGCAAAGCTTCCTTGCCTAAACCTGGAGATAATTTTTCCACCCAGCCTGGGAGACCATTCCCCCCCAAAACCCCAGCCCCCCCCCGGCTGGGTGCAGCTCAGCCCCCCCGAGGGCGCCCCCCAACCCTCCTTCCCCCCCCCCCCAGGCCAAGAGACCCCACCCCAAACACAGTCTGAGCTGGTCAGTCCTGGGATGGGGCACGACCAGGAAACCCGTGGCGTTTAAGTGAAACCAGGGGTCAGTGAGGAAGCCGGCAGGAAAGCTGCAAGTTTCAGTTACACGATGTCTCGTTTAATGACCACGTGCCTGGTTGGTCCCAATTGCTTTATTGAGCGAAGACTAAGCCTGTTGCAATCCTAACGTTGGCAGAGGAGCCCCCCGGATGCCTCCCAACCGAGGCTCCACGCAGGGCCCTGAGGAGGGGTCTTCAGCAGAGGTGGCAACGGCAGGACTTCCACTCCCAGAATTCCTGAGCCCACCTGCCCACCCTGCCCTTGAGGAAGCAACAGCCTCACACCTGTCCGCCCAGGTGATTCCCGAGCCCAGCGGCCACTTCCGCAGGCCAGCCAGGCAAGGCGGCTGGGCTGGACGCCTCGGCGGGCTTATCTCATTTGCTCAAGGGGGCCGTTCCAAGGGTGCCACTGCCGTGCCCGGCCCACTGATAAGCCTCCCGGGTGGTTCTCACCTGAGCCCGAAACCGATTACCTGATAAGCCCCTCTGCTGTCTCGGGAACAAAAGCCGCTCCTGCTTCCTCCCCCCCCCCCGGCCCGGGGACTTCCGGGGCTGGCTTTTCGGAACAAGCAGGTGAGAGAAGGAGAGGGGGTGAAAGGCCGTGCCAGGCAGGAGGCCCCGGGGCTGCCCCACTGGGTGAAAGGCCAGCCTCCCCCACAGCCAGCACAGTCCTGCCCGAGGCGGAAGGGCTCCTGTCCCCTGGCACGACCGTCCGGTCGCTGGGCCGGCTGAGCCAGAGGTGGAGGGGAGGCCGGGGGGGGGCAGAGGAGGGGGCGAGACCAAGTACGGGCACAGCTGAGTCCCCTCCTCTGACGAGTAGGTGTACATTAACCCATAGTGCGCGGCTGTAGTATTACTTATCCTTTTATCACCTTCTTCCGCTTCTCCTGGTGGTGCCCTTTTGGCATCGTTGTTGCTGCTGGTTACTATTATTATCGTTCCCGTTCGTATTATTCTGCAATTAGCCTTTGTGTACCAGACCCACCAGATCCCCGGCGTGTCTACCTACTCCTAGCCCAATAAAGCTGTTCCTGCCTCTTCTGGTCTCGTCTGTATTCTAGAATAAAGATTTCCTGACCACGAGAACTGCAAACAGGGGATTCCCTCCAGACGTCGTGGCTGCTCCAACACCAGGAGCTTTTTTGTCTGGGGGGGCTTAGGGTTTCCTGACTGAGCAAGGGGTTGGACTAGAAGACCTCCAAGGTCCCTTCCACTCCATCCCCATACTTCTCTTCTGTTCTCATTCCTATTCTATTCTATCATTCTGTTCCGTTCCATTCCACCCCGCCCCATTCTGTTCCTAGCCTGAGCCATGGCTGCTTCCCCCCCCCCCAGCCGTGGACCCAAGAGGAAGCAGGACCACCGGGGCAAGGCAGCCCCCCCCCCCCCTTGCCCCCCCCATCCCACCCCCAACCAGACTCCTACCTCCTGGGGGTCCACCATGCAGTAGTGGTACAGGTACTGGTTGTAGGAGGCTCCCCCGGTGTAGACCTGGTTGCACAAGGCCAGCATGGGGTTGGCCGAGTAGTAGCTGCCCCCCATCTGGGCCTGGGGGTTGACCCCCACGATGTAGACGATGGAGGCAATCAGCATGACGAAGGCCAGCAGGGCGCAGATCACCAGGGCCACCAGGTAGAACCGCCTGGACCGGGCCGCACTGGACTTGGTGAGGCTGACGACGGCCAGAGCCAACAGGGCGATGAAGCACAGCACCGACATGGCGAGCATGAAGCCGCTGGCTGCCCGGGGGTTGGTCATGCCCCCGTAGTAGCCCCCCATGCCGTAGCCGCCGTAGTAGCCGCCCAGGCCTCCGCCGTAGCCCCCCATGCCGCCGTAGCCCCCCATGCCGTAGTAGCCGCCGCCTATGCCTCCGCCGTAGAGGCCCCCGTAGCCGTAGTCCCAGGCCAGGGTGGAGGCCACACAGGCAAAGATGGCCACGCAGAGCAGGACGCCCAGCCCCTCCAGGACCCTCACCACACTGGGCGGGGAGGTCCACTTGTAGAAAAGCTGGGGCTCGTCCTCGATGTAGTAGGAACCCGGCGGGGGCAACTTGACGGGGTACCCGTAGTCCTCCCCCGGGGGTCCGTATCCAGCGGGAGGGCTGTCGTAGGGCTTCGGGCTAAACATCCTCGGCGCAGAAGCGAGGCAGGGCCGGTGGAGGAGCCCCAAGCGGTACAGCTGGAGGAGGGTGACCCAAGGGGGGGAGCCCCTTTAAGATCCCTGGAGCGGCCGAGAGGCTCCTGCGCTGCGTCTGGCTGGCACTGCCAAAGAGAGGGGAAAGTGAAGGTCAGTGTCCTCCCTGCGGCCTTTGGGCAATTCTTGCACCCCCCCCCCAGTGGTGGTTGAGGGACAGCGACTGTCTCCTGCAGCGGAAGTCACGGGGGAGGGGAGGAAAGTCAACCAAGACCACTCCCCCTCCCCCCTCCCCTGAGTGCCCAGGAGAGCCGAGGATCTGAGGACCACCCGGGCACCAGAACCATCAACTGGCCCACGCCAGGCATTTCTTCCTACGTTGTGGGCCCATCTAACGGTTGTGAAAAAGAGGGGCAACTGGGGAGGGAGACACCCACCCCTGGGTGACTCTGGGGTTATGCCCTTCCCTGGCTTTCAACCAAGGGGGCAGAGATCCCCCCCCCCCCCCCCCCCGTTATGCTGCCAAATAACACCGGCTCCTTCAAGTTGACCTTGGCTCCGGTAACTTCCCGGCCTCTCTCTGGGTTTGCTGGACTTCCTGGGTGAGTCTAAGGCCCCGGGGCGACTGCCCGGCTCCCAGTCAAGCTCCAAAAGCGAGCAGATAAACAGGTAACAGGTAATCAGAGTCGGAAGGCACCTTGTAGGCCATCGAGTCCAACCGCCTGCCCAAGCAGGAGACCCTACACCATTTCTGACAGAGGGCAGTCCAGGCTCTTCTTGGATCCCCGATATTTAACCCCGAGAACAGGAGGAAGGGTCCCAAAGACCCACCGGAGGGCAGGTGGGATCCAGCTGCTCTTCCCGCTTCAGTCTAATGCAGGGGGTCCCCAACCTTGGCGCCTTTAAGATGTGTGAACTTCAACTCCCAGCTTTGCCGGCTGAGGAATTCTGGGAGTTGAAGTCCACAAGTCTTAAAGGGGCCGAGGGTGGGGACCGCCGCTCTAATGGCTTCCGGAAGTTTTTCCCCAGCAGAGGGAATCCAGCCGTCAGAATTCAGCGTCTGATGACAACATTACAAATTGATCTCCATCCGAGTCTATTAGATCGACGGCCGACCTCATGCCTGCGGCCGCTTGCCCAGTGTTTATAAACTCTGGATTGCAAACAGCCTTGTCACACGGCTGTCAAAGGTCAGTTTGTAATGTTGTCAGTGCTGTCATTTGGAGGGCTGAGCACCCCCTGGCCGCCCCAGACTCTGGGGTCTGCTGCCCCCTTCGTCTTCCTGAACTGGAGAAAGGGGGGGGATGTATTACAGTAGCAGATGAGACCAGTTTTTTTTGGGGGGGGGGGTTAGACTTTGAGATTGGTGTTTCTTGGCCACTTTAAGATGTAGGAGCTTGACTTCCGGTGGCGTTTCCGTCAATGATGGATCAGAGACCGCAATTGTGCGCGGCTTTGATCCGCGTTTCCCTTGTTGGAAGGGTCCGCACGGAACCGGAGTCATCTGACCCTCCTTGGAGGGGTGGGAGAAGAGGGGGAGACCACCAGCTGGGTTGAGGGGAGCCACACCTCCCCTCCCTAGCTAGGTATTACTCCCCTGGAAGACAGGGAGAAACAGCAGTCTAAATTGGCTGCCCTGAAAACGGAAAGCTGCCGGGTCCCTAAGTTTTGTGCTGGAGCAGTGAAGTGGTGAGCTACATATAACCAGATAAAAGAATTGAATTTTTTCTTAACAACCCCGAGAAGTTGAAAGAAAGTGCCCTCACGAAAGAGTATCACAGCGGCGAACAGAAAAGACGAAAATACAGGGTAAACAAAATTGGAGTATAAAAAGTTACAATGAAATTAGAGACTAAATTTTGAATAATATAAATTGGCATTAATTAGGCATTGGATAAAATGCTAGACTTGCCTGGAATTGGTTATTATTAAGAAAATTAATCATGGAAATAGTTGAAAATTAATGTTTAACATAATTAAAAGAGAAAAGAACTTTGAAAAATGGAAAGTGATACCGAGCACTATCTAATGGTCAAAGACTTTTTTTTCCCTACAAAATTTTATGGAAATTTATTGGACTCATAACTGTTATGAAACAAAAGTTAAATAAAATAATAAGAACCCCAGAAATTTTTTTTAAAAGAGGGAGAAACTACTAAGAGGATATACAAATGCAATTTCCTGGGACTGTTGGGTGTTGATTGTGAAAGAGGCAGAAGGATTAACAAGAGAAACAAAGATAAAAGGAGACTTTTGGCAAAGATTGCATTAAAGGACTTTGAATATTAATAACTGATTATAAAAAAATGGAAGAAATAAGCAAAGACTTTAAGTTGGAATTGCAAACCGTAAGAGGAATGCTGAAAGAAAGGAGGGAATTATTGGAAATATTGGAAAAGAAAATAATGGCGATGGCAGAAGAACAAAGAAATTCCAGCAAGGCAGAGCTAAAGGAAGAAGAAAGAGGCTCAAATAGTCCTGGAGAACAAGAGGCACTGCCAGAAGACACTAAAGGAATTAAAACTATGACGGATGATAGAGTCAATAAATAAAAGAGAAAACGCTCCCGGGATTAAACAAAAGAAGAAAAAATTATACAAAAAGAAACTTCGAAAAAGAGAACAGGAAAGGGGGAGGGGAGAAGATGGGTGAAATGTTAGAAAGAAAGAAGGAAGATCAGGGAAATTTAGAAAAGGGAAAGTTGGCTAAAATTAAAAGAAATAATAAAGTCGAAAAGTTCAGAGATAAGGGTTCGGGATTCTATAAGGGGGATACCACATGGAATATATATTGGTATTTAGTTTAAAACTTGTTGGGAAATACTTTAGGAATGTATAATTACATATATATGTGAATATGAACTGTATATAAAATGTGTTGTTATGAACCCTTTTCTTTCTTCGAGGCTTAAAATAAGGGAATGGAAATGAATTTTAAAAATATGATTATTAATGATTATAAATGAAGTGAAGATAAAATGAGAGACATTAAGAAGTTATTTTAGTGATTCACTGGAGGGGATATATATAGTTGACTATATATACAGTTGATTATTTAATGGATATTAGAATTGTACAACGAGAATATTTTATTCTGTGAATATTTTATTCATGTGGAAAATACCATGAGGATCTGAAATATATTGGTTTTATTATATTTTTACTCTTTTTAGATTGCTTATTATATATTGGCTTAGAGAAAATTAAGGACAACAATGATGTGTAATGTAAAATAAAATAGGTGGTAAGCTGAAAATGGAAATAATAGGGGATAAAGAATTGGAAAGGTATGGATGAAATTATATTGATATTGAATTAATGAACTGAAACATGAATTGCAAATTCATTTAAAGATGAGTGAAATGGATAATAATATGAGTTTAATATTATATAAGATTAATGGAAATGAAAATATGACTATGTACAAGTGTTATAATCTGGAAATATGTTGCTCACATGGAAAGATGCATAAAATTTAAAAAAACAAAAAAACTTTTTACAAAATAAAAAGAAGTGGGAGCTTCTCTCTGACCCCATCAACCCTCTCCAGGGTGCCACTGGGGGTGGGGGGGTGGGGGGACGGCTGCTGAAAAGCATTGCCCTCACTGGGGGCACAAGATCTGCCCTGGAGCGGGGCTGCTGCCCCTGCAGGGTGGGCACCAAGGTGGCGCAGAAGAGGCCAGAGGACCCTTCTCGGTGAAATCTGCCTGGAGTTGCTGCTGGTGATCAGAGGTGGCTGAAATGCCCAGCAAGCACAGCCTCTGGGCCCCGGGGCCCCCCGGCGGCCCGCCCCCCCCCCCCCCACCTGGCACTGGGGGAGGGGCCACCTGGCAAAACGCACCCGGGTCCCTCCAACCCAAGCCGGTGTGCCCACCGGGAGGTCCTAACTGCAATGGAGGGACCCAGAGGCTCCTCCTGGGGGGCTGCCCAGATTATGCCGCCTCCTCTTATTTTGGGGAATGCCAGGCTCAGAGGGAAGGCTGTGATTTGGTCGGGGGGGGGGCATGGTAGCAGAATTCCAGTATTGGAGGGGCTGCCCCAGAGAAGGGGGGCCAAGCTACTCCCCAAAGCACCAGGAAGGCCAGACAAGGAGCAACAGATGGAAACTCATCCAGGGGAGAAGCAACCTGGAACTCAGGAGGAACTTCCTGACAGGGAGGACAGTGAGCCAGGGGAACTGCCTGCCACCCGAAGTTGTGGTTGCTCCGTCCCTTGATGTCTTTAAGAAGAGTCTCGTAGACCGTCACTTGTCTGAAAGGGTATAAAAGGTCTCCTGCTTGAGCAGGGGGCTGGACTAGAAGACCTCCAGGGTCCCTTCCAGCTCTATTCCAATTTGACTGATTGATTTGGGTGGGCGAGGAGGAGGAGGAGGAGGAGGAGGAGGGTGCGTGGGTGCAAATCCCTGCCCTCAATTCCCCTTCCCTGATTGGGGATTCCCCTTCCCCCCTCCAGTGCCAGTCCCAGGCGCCTGAGCAGGGCACATTCCCCCCTCCCCCCCCCCAAATCCCAGGGACCAGGAAGCGGCCCACCCCTTCTACCCCAGGAGCCCCGCTTGGCTGCTCCGCCCTTGCCAACCGGCCGGTTCCCAGGGGATCCCGCTCCTGCTCCCCACCAGAACGGCGGCTGCCTGCCAGATCCCTCCAAGCGGCTCTGCGACTCCGGATTTCAAGGTTGTTCCTGGGAGCCAGAAAGGGGAGGCCGAGGTCCGGCCTCTGGCTGGCTCACAACCAGGGAGGGGGGGCTTCAGCCGGGCAGCTGCCCAGGAGCCCCTCGGCCCTCCCTCCCTCCCCTGCGGCTCCCATGCCCGCGAGGGGGGCTTCCTCTGCCCCCAGCCCCTGCCCAACCGCCGTGGCTGGAACGGTTCAACCCAAGAGGCGAGGCGGCTGTTCTGTGGCAAGATGGGCAGCCCAACGCACCAAGGAAGGGATTTGGCTGCCAGCCACCGGCACAGCCGGGAAGGGGAGGGACCCAGGGCCGGGCTTGGCGGTTTCCACCCGTGGGGGCCCGGCTCCTCTGGGTCTCGGCGGGGCCCAGCCTTGAGATCTGCACGGAGGCCGGAGTCACCGCTTCCTGGGCAGCTTCTCGGGAGTCTCTGCCTGCCACCCGCAAGACACGGAGGCTGGGCACCCCCCCCACGCAAGGGAGGGAGCCTTGACCACCCCACTTATCACCCCGTTGCAGATTCTCCCCCCCTGCCCCCGTCTCCATCTCCGGGTGGCTCAGGAAGCACCACCATGGTTACAAGCGAGTAAATACGAGCAAGGTTGCCTTTTAAATTTAGGCACCCATAAATTGGGCTCCGTTGCTTCTGCTCGATCGATCAACCAGAACAGAGCTGGAAGGGACCCTGGAGGTCTTCTAGTCCAACCCCCTGCTCAGGCAGGAGACCCTCGACCATTTCAGACAAGCGGCTGTCCGGTCTCTTCTTCAAAACCTCCAGGGACAAAGCACCCACGGTGTCTGGTGGCCAGCAGTTCCCCTGGCGAATTGTCCTCCCTGTTAGGAAGTTTCTCCGCCATTCCACGCCGCTTCTCCCCGTGAGGAGTTGCCATCCGGGGCTTCTTCTCCTGCCGTTGCTTTGGATGGATAAATTGACCCCCCCCCCAATACGGAAACGCTGCCATCAGGGCCCCCCCTCCCCCCGGTCCTTCTTTTCTCCAGACCGGCCAGACCCCGATCCTGGCCAGACCCCAATCCTGCCACCGATCTTGATCTGTTTTTCCCTCCAGGCCTTTAATCCTTTAATGCTCTTCTCTGCCCCTTTTCCAAAGCCTCAACCTCTTTTTTGTGACGGGGTGACCAAAACTGGACGCAGAAAATTCCAGGTGTGGCCTCACTAAGGCTTTACAAAGCGGCACCGATTCTACGCTTCTGTTTATAAGCCCAGGATTGTTATATTACACAACCCGAATATCTATCCAGGTTTTCTCCTCTGCATAAAAAAAAGGGATCGACTCCAAGGTGGGTGCCTGGGAAACAGGCTCTGACGGAGGAGGAGGAGGAGGAGGCCAGAAGGAAAAGGCCGGCCTGGGAGCAGGGGGTGGAGGTGGAGGGGACCCACGGAGGCCTTGGGGGGAGAAAGGGCCCACTCAGAGGGGGCAGGGGAGCAGAAGACAGCTGGGGGGGGGGCAAAATCCCGCCAGTGCCTACAAAGCTGATCTTTCGGGATGAGGCAAGGCCAATTTATATTTTATTCCCCCCAATTTAGCTATAAAACCGAACGTCCTTTTCATCTACACAGGGAGGAGAGATTTACTGCTTGATTTATCCTATGGCTGGATTTGTGTTTATAATCTTAAGTTGTGCCATCTTTTGGGTTGAGCACCCCATAAAAACCCGGCAAGGAAATGCTCCCAGCCCAGAAAAGCTGCAGGGCCACCAAGAAGCTGCGCCCCAAATCCAGCCTGGGGGAGGCTGAAGTGACCTTGCAAGGCAGCCAGAGGATTGGGGGGGGGCGCTGCAACGGGGCTTCCCTCCCCCCAGTCGCCGAGGCCGGGGCCAGCCCTCCTCCCCCCTCCCCCGTGGAAAGGAAACGTTCCTCACTTCTAGCCCCCCCCCCTTTCCCTGCGCCTCCGGACCGGGGACCCCGAACTGGGGGACTTCAACGCCCGGAGCGCTCCCGACTGCAGAGCAGCGACTGCAACCTGCGGGCCTCGCAAAGCGCCCCCCCCCGCCCAACCCGGCGTGGAGATCCGTAAAGCGAGCGGCCGGGCCAAATTCCGGCGAGCCCCGCGGGCGGTGCGGACGTGCGCGGCCGGCTGTCCTCGGGAGGCCCCCCGCGGCTCCGGGGCACAATGCCTGGCGGGGCCGGGAGGGTCGGCGCCGCAAGGGAAGAATTCGGGCGGGGCGGGAGGGGAGGACGGGCGCATCGCCTCCGGTGGGCCGACCGGCCTGCCTGCCTGCCTTCCCGGCCCCCGAGCCGCCCCTCGGGCCCCAGCCGCGGAGGAAGCGCTGGGAAGGGGAGCTTCTCTCCGCCCGGCGCCCCTCGCCTCCCGCCGGCCGTGGCCCTTCCCGCCGCCGCCGCCGCTTTCTCGGGGGCCAGGAATGGAGGCGGCGCGCCGGTTTCCCTCGAGCGGAGAAGCTGCAGGATCGCATTGAGCTGGTCTCCACCGGCGAGGAATTTGGGAAGGAAGGAAGAAAAGGAGGGAAGGAAAGGAGGGAGAAAGGAAGGAAGAGGGGGAGGAAGGAAGGAAGGAAAGGAGGGAGGAGGAAGGGAAGGAAGACGGGGAAGGAAGGAAGGAGGGTGGGAGGGAGGAAAGAAAGGAGGGAGAAAGGAAGGAAGATGGGGAGGAAGGAAGGAAAGGAGAAAGAAGAAAGGAAGGAGGGTGGGAGGGAGGAAGGAAGATGGGGAAGGGAGGGAGGAAAGGAGGGAGAAAGGAAGGAAGATGAGGAAGGAAGGGAAGGAAGGAAAGGAGGGAGAAAGGAAGGAAGATAGGAAGGAAGGAAGGGAGGGAGGAGAAACAGAAGGAAGGAAGGAGGGTGAGAGGGAGGAAGGAAGATGGGGAGGAAGGAAGGAAAGGAGGGAGGAGAAAGGGAAGGAAGGAAGGAAGGAGAGCGCAGGGAAGGAGGAACAAGAAACGGGGAGGGAGGAGGGAGGAGAGGAAAGTTTGGAGCGAAGCGGGGAGGAGGAAAGAAACGGAAAGAGAAAGAGCGGGAGGGCCGAGCAAGCGGGAAGCGCCGCTCCTCTCCCGAAAGACCCCCGCTGGGGACGAGCCCCCCCCCCCGTGGGAGGCAGGCAGGCAGGCAGGCAGGCAGGGCGGGGGCCCCGGAGCGCCCTTCTCCCGGGGCTGCTCCCCGCGCCAGGGACTCCCCGCCCGCCCCGCCGCGCACCTGCCGCCCTCGCGGCCTCACCTGGCTGCGCCCGTGGCCTGGCGGGCCCTTCGCGCAGGACTGGAGGCCTCGGCGCCGGCGGCGGACTGAGCCAGAAGGGGCGGCTCCTCGGCCCTCCCCTTCCCCGGAGGCCACACGCGCCCCCCCCCCCCCCGCCCCCCGCCCCCCGCCCCGCCGTCCCACCTGGCCGGCCTCCCGCCCCGCCCGCCCGCCCGCCCGGAACTCCTCGGCGGGGCTGGAGCCCCGGCGCTCCCCCGCAGGCAGCCCAAGCGCTCGAGCCCGGAGGCGGCGGGGACCGGCGCCCCTCCGCTTGCACCCCAAAAGGCCGCCCGGGCGTGATGGGCCTTGGAGTCCCAGGTCCCCGGGCTGGGAGCGGCAAGCGCAGAGCCCGCGGGGGAGGCGCGCTCGGCTCGCTCCGGCCCGGCGCCAGAAAGCGGGGAGCGGGCGTGGGGGCTGCTTGGCACCCGGTTCCCCCGGCTGGATAACGAGTCTACCTTGTTCCCCGGTTGGGTCACGGCCGGTCCGGAAGGAAGGAAGGACGGAAGGACGGAAGGGGTCCCCGTCGGCTCGCCTCTTCTCTTGGACCCGGTGCCAGGCGGGCAAAGTTTGTGCCAAGCCCTCGAGGAGCAGCTGGCGCGATCAGGCTGCACAACCAACTGTATCAAAGGGGCCCCTGCCTGTGCACACACACACACACACACACACTCACACACACAAACACACTCTCCTCCCCCCCCCCTTTGTTGCCAAGGGTTGAAATCCTCCCTCCTGGCTCCACTTCCTGCTTGGCCAGGGGAAACCCGGAGCTGCCGGTTTTGAAAAGGGGGGGGGGATAAAAGGTGGGGAGGGCCAAACACCAGAGACACCCCCGCCCCCGAAGCCCCTTCGACCACCTACCCCTTTGGCCTCCCGCCTTCCTCCCACTTGGTTTCAAGCGACTTTATTTGGAAGAGGGGTCTCATCTGGGGCACCCTGAGTCGCCTGCAGAAGCCCCCAGCCCTCCCCCCCCACAGAACTGCCCCACATCCTAGACCCCCCTCCCCCTCCCTCCCTCCCTCCCCCATCCAATCTTCCTTCTGGGCCGGTTTTTCTTTGCGCAAAGGTGGAATCACGCAGAAAGTCGTGTTGGTCTCTTCACCCCACTTTTTATTCTCAACCTATTGGCACAAGGTGGAAACCGGGCCGGTTCTGGCACTGAGGCTCCAGGGGGGCAAAGACCCCCCCTACGCCCCCCCCCTTTCCTGTTGGGGGCAGAGCAAGCAGATTGGGGGCCGGTTCGCCTGGCATAAACTCCCCCAAAGAGCCACCTGGGAAAGGGGCCTCGGGACGGAGGGGGCACCCCAGCTGCCCATGGGGGCCACGGAACGACGGATCCCAGGCCCCCAGGAGGGTCTCCACTCCATGGAGAGATTTCTCCAGCGCTCCCAATAGGGTGGCTGACCCCCCCTGTAAGGAGCCCCTCCCTCCTTCCCTCCTCCCCCTTTCCAGGCTGGGCTTCGGGCCCCTCCTCAAAGCGCCACGGACGGCTCGCTCCAGTCAGCGTCGAAGGTCTGGATCTGGGCCTTGAGGTGGGAGAGTTTTTTCCTCAGGTAGTCGCAGCGCTCCTGTTTCTCCAGGAAGGAGGGGTCCTGCGGGGGGGGGGGGGGGAAGAAGGGGGGGGTAGAGGGAGAAGGACGGATCTTCAGGCTGGCGCCAAAAGCATTTCACCGGCCTACTTTCTATGGCCTCTATTACAACCCCAATTGATCCCAAAGGGTATGTTGGTAAACAAGACAGCTGTTAAGGGAGTTTTGCCCCGTTTTACGACTTTTCTTGCCACGGCTGTTAAGTGAATCCCTGCAGCTGTTCAGTTAGTGACATGGTCGTTAAGCGAATCTGGCTTCCCCGTGGCTAGTCCGGTCGCAAAAGGGGATCACGTCGTGAGCCCAGGACACGGCGACCGTAGTAAGCGTGAATCGATTGCCAAGCGCCTGAAGGTTGACCACGTGACTCCGGGGAGCCTGCAACGGCTGTAAGTGTGAGAACCGGCCACAATTCCCTTTGTGCAGCCTGCCGTTGTAAGCGAAGGGTTGTGAGGACGGCCTGAATCGGCTCTGGCTGTGGTTCTCCCCCCACGAGCCCCTCTCCTCATTCTTGTGGGCCGAAGGGGGGAGACAGGGGGGGCGTTTCCTCAGTGGAGTAAAAGGGTCCCTGAAGGGGAGGGGTCACCCCCTCCCCCCAGGCGTCACAGTTTACAGCCTGAGCCTTTCCTTCCCTTGGGTGGCCTCGGAAGCCTGCCAGACCCCCAGCCCCATTTTAGTGGCATGCATGGAGGGGTTTGTTGCTTTGCAGGGCTGGTGCGGCCCCTTTCTCACATCCAGGCAGCCCTCAGCCAGGAATCGTTTGTTTAGCAACCATTCAGAGCGACCACGGTGGCGCAGTGGTCAGAGTGCGGTACTGCAGGCCGCTTCTGCTTATAGCTGGCTGCCTGCAAAATTGGGCAGATCAAATCCCACCAGGTTCAAGGTCGACTCAGCCTTCCGTCCTTCCAAAGTCAGTAAAGCGAGGGCCCACTTGTTGGGGGCAGCAGCCCGACTCTGTGAAGCAGCGCATAAGTCTAAGGGCTATGGCTATTTCCCTCCCTCCCTTCTTCTCTTCCTCCCTGTGGTTATAATGCAGCATTGCAGGCGAATTCTGCCGACTGCCAGCAGTTCGATCCTCCTTCCCTCCTTCGAGGTGGGTCGAATGAGGAGCCAGAGGGTTGGGGGCAGAGAGGCTGACTCTGTGAAGCGGTATAGAGGTCTCAAGGCCGTGGCTACCACAGCATTGAAAAAGGGGGTCGTTTTTCACACGACCCATCCTCCGGGGTCACGGGGTCAAAGTCCAGGCCCTTGGCAACTGGCCTGTACTTATGACGGTTCTGCTTGTAAAGCGAGGACTCCCTGGGGCGATTCCAGGCCACCCACAACCCCCTGTGAGAAGAGAGGAAAATGGGAGGGGGAAACAGAGGAGCCCCGTCTTTCCACGCATTTGGGGTCTGCAGGCCCCCCCAGACCCAACCGGGCCAGGAAGGAGACCAGAGGGAGGCAAGCGGGGGAGAAGGATGGGGGGCTGCGCTTTGGCCCTGCAGGAGGAGCAGATGCCCCCCCACCCAAGAGAGCCCCCCCCCCAGAAGCCCCAGCCCTTGAGTGACGGTAACCCCCCCCCTTACCTCCTTCTTGCCCCTGTAGGCCCTCCAGACAGCCGAGAGGCGGCTTTGCTCCTGCAGAGGAAGAGGAGGAGAGGAGAGGAGAGTCTGGGGTCCTCCAGGGGAGCCGGGAGAGACCCTCCCCAACCCCGGCAGGCTCAGGAGGGGAGGCAGGGATTCTCTTGGGGAGGCAGGATGCAAACAGGGACCTCTTTGCTCTGCGGACGGACGGGCAGCCTGGACATGAGGGCCTCCAACTCTTGGAACCTCTGCCGCCTGGCATGGATTTCGCGGAGGAGGGCCTGGTACTCCACATACTGGTCCTTGAAGATGGCCGTGTACTTCTCCCGCTCGGCCGGACTCCCGATGGCCGGGTACCGCCTGTCCGGAGGAGAGAACAGAAAGGGTCAAGGGGAAAACCGCCCCCGTTTTAGAGAGACTAACTGCAGTTCTGCAGTTACAGATAAGATGCAGGTGAACAGAGCTGGAAGGGACCTGGTAGGTCATCCAGTCCAGCCTCTCCGCCTAAGCAGGAGACCCTACGCCATTTCTGACAGAGGGCAGCAATCCAGTCTCTTCTTGGAAGCTTCCAGGTATGAACCTCTGAAGACGACTTCTGTTCTACTAGTGGATGGCTCTCACTGTTAGAAAAATGTCTCCTTATTTCTACGTTGAATCTCTCCTGGTTCAGTTTCCACCCATTATTCCTTCTCTGGCCTTCGGGTGCCTTGGAGAATAGCTTGACCCCCCTCCTCCTCTCTGGGGCAGCCCCTCCTCAAATGTTGGAAGGCCGCTCTCCTGTCTCCCCTGGTCCTTCTCTTCCCGAGACCAGCCAGGCCCAGTTTCTGCAACTGTTCGTAGTATGTTTCAGCCTCCAGTCCCCTCATCATCCTGGTTGCTCTTCTCTGCACTTTTTCTAGACTCTCAACAACTTTTTCATAGTGTGGTGACCAAAACTGGATGCAGGACTCTAGGTGTGGCTTTAGTAAGGCTTTATAGAGTGGGATTAGTACCTCCCTTGATCTCGATTGTATCCTTCTGTTAATGCAACTTAGGATTGCATTGGCTTTTTTGGCGGCTGCTGCACACGGCTGGCTCCTATTTAGCCGGTCGTCCACTAAGACTGCAAGATCCTTCTCACATTTCCTGCTATTGAGCCCGGTTTCACCCAGTCTATATGTGTCCTTTTGGTTTTTCTTGCCTAAGTGTAGCCCTTCTCCGTGTCTGCATGTCAGATAGTTCCAGGGCTGGGCAGGGGGGACACACCGCCCGAGATCCCCCAGAAAGACCCCCACACAAAGAGCTTGATGCTGCAGCTTCCTGGATGGCAGCTGGTTGCAGGCAGAAGTTCTCAGGTGCAGTTCAGCAGAAACGGGGAGCTGCAGAAAAGGTTGGAATTGGGGCCTGGGCAGAGAGCCCAGCCAGGCTGGCATCGGTTCTGGAGGTGGGCATCCTCGCCCACGTAGCCTCCTTCCTTCCAGAGCACCTTGAAACATCCCCCCTGCCCCGCTCAGCTCCAGGGGGTGTTGAGGCCTGTGGGGTGGGGGGTTCCTAGCTGACCCCGGATGGCAGGTTTAAAAAATGAAGGACCTGAATATACACTTTGGTTTTTGACACCTGCCAAAGCCCCCAGGAGTCTCCAAGCGTGGCAACTTTCAGGCTTGTGGACTTCAACTCCCAGAGTCCCCCAGTCAGCCAGTGAAAAGCTGCTGAGAGGAAGGGGGGTAAGGGGGAAACCCCAAAAGTCTTAAAGGAGAGACTGGACCAGCCCTTGTCCTGTCTAAGCAGGCGGTTGGACTAGAAGACCTCCAAAGGCCCCTTCAGACTCCGTTCTGTTCTAAAACTCTCTCTCTCCGGTACTTACACGATGTAATCGGGGACGATAAGCGGCTTGGGGTTGTGCCCCACCGGGATGGCGTGGTTGAGCACTTCCGGGCCTCCTTCCTCGGAGAACGCGACGCGCCTGGACCCCCGGCCGGCTGGACGTCCCTTGGCCGGAGGGATCCTCAGGTGCTCAGGGGAAGCCCCCGGCAGGAAAACCGGCCTCGGCTGTGGGGGGGGCCAAGAGACCAAGAAGAAACCTTCACCTGCAGCCTGGGTAGCCCCACCCCTTTCCTCACCAAGGGTCACACCTGCAGCCGAGGGGGCCCCTGTTTGTTCACGGGGAAAGGGGAGGCCTCATCCCTGGTGGCACTGAAGGCCCTGCGGATTGTTTTAAAAGACTGAATATTTTACTGTGTGATTAGATGCAGAAGGAATTTAGAAGCCTCCAGGTACGAGAGGAGGAGGAGGAAGAGGAGGAGGAGGAGGAGGAGGAGGAGGAGGAGGAGGAGGAGGAGGAGGGAGACAATAAAAAGGGGAAGTGATGAAGATCATCAGAGGGATAAACCATCATAATGCAAGAGGAGGAGGAGGAGGAGGAGGAGGAGGAGGAGGAGGAGGAGGAGGAGAAGAAGAAGAAGAGAAGAAGAAGGAGGAGAAGGAGAAGGAGAAGAAGAAGAAGGAAAAGAAAAGAAGAAGGAGAAGGAAAAGAAGAAGAAGAAGAAGAAGAAGAAGAAGAAGAAGAAGAAGAAGAAGAAGAAGAAGAAGAAGAAGAAGAAGAAGAAGAAGAAGAAGAAGAAGAAGAAGAAGAAGAAGAAGAAGAAGAAGAAGAAGAAGAAGAAGAAGAAGAAGAAGAAGAAGAAGAAGAAGAAGAAGAAGAAGAAGAAGAAGAAGAAGAAGAAGAAGAAGAAGAAGAAGAAGAAGGGAGACCAATAAAAAGGGGAAGTAATGAAGATCCTCAGAGGGATAAACCATCATTAGGCAAGAGCCCCACTAGGTGGGTTAATCGACATGAAGCAGCACAGAGGGAAGGGGGGGTTCAGCGGAGCGATGGCCCCCCTGGGTCCAGGGGTTTGGGGGCTCTCAACTTGGAAGCGTTAAAAGGCCGGATGCCCAGCGGGTGAGGGTCCTGCAGGCGTCCCCTCAGCCCTCCTTCCAACCCCCGTGCAGACCCACCAACTGCACGGCCTCTGTCCTGGGGGGGGGGGGGGGGGGGGGGGGCTGCTGCCCACCCAGGTCTCTCCCACCTTCCTGAAGATGCCAGGACTGCCCCCACCCCAGGGCCCCTGCGAATGAGGCAGGGGTCTCCCAGAATCTGGGGGCTTTCCCCCCCACCCCCCCACCCGTGGGGGTCTTACCGGGGGGAGCAGCCTCCTCCTCCTCCGGGCTGCTTCGTGCCGCCACATCTGGAGACAGACGAGGGAGCCGGCCAGGTAGAGCAAGGGGACGAGGAAGAGGAAGGTGAGGGCGGCCACCTGCCCCCCCTCCACCCGGCAGAGGGCCGTGAGGAGGGGCCCGTAGGCAAAGGCCGAGTAGCAGAGGCCCCCCCGGTTGAGGTCGTGGACGTAGGCGATGCCGGCCGCCAGGTAGAGCAGGAACATGGAGAGGTTGAGGGCGAACTCGGCCAGGGGCCACCAGTGGGAGCCCAGCAGGATGGCCCGGTAGTGCGTGGTCAGCCCCAGGGCCAGCAGGATGACCGTCAGCAGCCAGGCCAGGCTGGCCACCACCAGCACAAAGGGGGTCATCGGGACGTAGGAGCCAAAGCCTGCTCCGGTGAAGCCGCTGCTGTACAGCTGGGGCCACTGGTAGTCCTTCTGGACGTAGGCCGCGGTGCAGGCGAAGGCCATCCCCCCCAGGAGGAGCTCCAGGGCCCCCAGCAGCCTCAGGAGGCCGGGCCAGGACTTCAGGTGGCCGTACTTGCGCTCGCAAGACTCCAGCTTCTCCCTGTATCCCGGGGGCCCTGTGGAGGCCTCCCCGTGGCTGGAGAGGGACACGCCCTTCCCAGACTTGGAAGACGGGGTGGCCTCCGAGGGGGGACCCTGGCCTCCTTCCTTCCTCTCGCTACTGGTGGAGCCGCCCTCCTCCTCCTCCTTCTCCTCCTCCCCGCCAGTCAGGCTGGTTCGCTCAGGGGTCTCCAGGCCTGGACGGACGGGTGGGGGGTTTGGGGCCCCGGAGGAGTGGGGTCCCAAGGGGGCGGCAGGAGGTTCTTCTCGGGGCCGCCTCCACCCCCTCCCGAAAGCCTTCCGCCAGGACGAGGCCAAGGAACTGCGGAGGGGCTGCGGAGGGGCCTCTTCTGGGAAGGCTGGCTGGGCCGACCAGTGGGGGGGCCCACGTGGGGAGGGAGGGGGAGAGCCGGACCCAGAGCTGCACCCGGGACGAGGGGTCCCTGGGGCCCCCAGACGGAGAGGGCTGGAGAGGGGCCAGGAGGCCGGGCCCAGGCCCACCGGAGGCTGCCCCTCTGCCCCCGCCGGAAGGGGCTTCTCCAGGGCCATGGGTCCACGTCTCTTGTGGGGAGGGGTCTTGGCGGAGTCCCGGCTTCCGGGCAGGAGCAGCTGATCTGGGAAAGATAAAGAAACCAAGAGGTTGGTCCCAGCAGGGAGGCCCTTTTCTTCAGCCCCACCCAAGGAACGGAAGGGGGGGGGGAGAAGGAAGGAGCCTTTTGGGGGGGGGGGGGCTCCCATTAAGAAATGGCTGAAAACTTCCTCTCTCCACTTCGAATACGTAGCCTGAAACGTGGCTCTTACTCTTAACGTGACTTGGAGGTGAATGATAGAATTATGGGGCCGCTTAATTATTTGGCATTTAGGGCTGGGCCCCCAAGGCCCCCCAGCGGTTGGAAAGGGGAGAATCTACCCCTCCCCCCAGGAGGGGACCCCCCCACCCTCCCACCTCTCACGGCGGAAGAAGGGAGCCAACTAAGGCCGGAGCAGAGCTGGCCCTGATGCCCTTGCCAGCCTGTCTTCGTGGGGAGGGGACTGAGGGCAGCCTGCACAGGACCTCTGAGGCCCCTCCCTTTCTGGGGTGACCCTGGGACACCCCCCTCTCCTTCCCAGGCTCAGCCCTGTCCGAAGGCCCAGAGATGGACGGGCAGCTGGCAGCGCCAACCGTGCCGATTACTAAGATGGCAGGGAGCCCCCGGCCTCTCCCGATGGACGTGAGGCAAAGGCCGACTCTGAAGGGTCTCAGGCCAAGGAAGCCGGCTGCCCTGGGGTCACTTCCTTTGCTCGGGGGGGGGGCCAAGAAAGGATCGGGAGAGACCTGCAGGTGGAGGGAGGGTTGAAAAACAGGTGGCCTTCGAGGGCCCCTCCTCTCCTGGCCCCCCAGCCTGCCCAGGGGGGTCCAGTGGGCCTGTGCCTCCATCGGGGACCACCCCTCGGGGGAAGACCCCCACCACGGCCTTTGCCTGTCTGCCCGGTGGGAGCCTCCAAGGAGGAAGGCAGAGAGGGAGAGGAGGAAGAAGACGGGGAGGGGGAGGAGGAGGAGGGAGGAAGACAAAGAGGAAAAAGGAGAGACCCCCCCCCTCCCAGTCAGACCCCCTCTGGCTGCCCCTTCTCAGCCCACCACCGGATGTTCACATTTCATCCCCCCCACACACACACAGCTGAGGGCCCCGTGCCTGGAGCCCCCCCCCCCAAGATGGCCCCCATACCTTCCGCCTGCTTGTGGTCCCACTCCGGAGGGGAAGGGGGTGGGGTGGGATCCGGGCCCACTTCAAAGGCCAGCAAGGAAGTGTGCAACTTCCTCCTCCCTTTTGCGGTGGGGGGGAGGGGGCCCTCCGATCCGGTGGGGCTCTGCCGGCTCTGGCACAGGAAAAGCTTTGGGCTCCAAGCGGGCATCTTATCGGGCTTGGCGGCGGTTAATGATTAACCGGAGGCTGCCCTGCAGGAAAGCGCCAGGCCCAGAGCGGCAGAGGAGCCCCCATTTCACTTCAGGACCAAGATGCCCATGGGGCACTGCCCAAGCGCTCTCGATGGCCACAGCCACTTTGCAGGGACCCAGGGATCCCCGTTCAGGAGGAGGAGGAGGGGGGGGGGGGGGCCCCCTTCCAACCCCTGCCCCCCCCCCCCCTTCTCGGTCCCATGGGGTCGGGGGGGGGCTCCCTGTCTGGAGGGGGCCGAGGCACCTTTAGAAGCTCCTGCCAAGCGTTTTCTCCCAGCCCATTTTCCAGGGGTGGGGTGGTATGAACTGGGCACCTGGCAACTCCCGGGGGTCCCTGAACCCAAGCCCCCGCCCCCCCCCAGCCACGGAAAGACCCCGGGTGTCTCGGGCCCAGTCCTTGTGCGGTTCTGGCTTGGCCTTCAGTCGGAATCCTGCTGCCTTCCCAGGTGGACGCCTGCCCTGCGCTCCCAGGTGCGATTGTGTGTTTGTGTGCAGTGTTCTTGCAGCCGGTGTGGTGGAGACACAGCCTTTTAAGACTGGGGAGGCTTTTGCCAGTGCAGATCGTCCCACCAGGATCGCTGCACCCCGGCCAGGAGCAGCCCCCACGCCCGGGGGGGGGGACCCTCTTGGCAGGGCCAGGCAGGCGAGAGGCGGAGACCCCTGAGGATGCTGTGGGGCCGCTCAGTGGATGGGCTGCCTGGGAGCCCCCAGGAACCCGGAGGGAGCGCAGCGTCTGTGTGCGTGTGTGGTTGTGGTTGTGGGTAGCTTAGCCAGCTCCTTCCAAGGGCATTTGCCCCACAGCTTCTTCTTGGATCTTGCTTTCTTCTGCGACTGTCCCTTAGCTGGGCCCTGAGCTGTCTCACACACACACACAACACACAACACACACAGAGGCGTGCACGCATTTTGCATCAGGTCTCTTGCCAAACGCAGCAGGGGAAACTCAGGGGCCGCAGGGCTGTTGTTTTTCATCTCTTCACAGGAATTGGCAAGGACAAAAGTCACACGCCTCACGCCAGACTTGAAGTGCATGGAAAGCTACAAGGCCCACGTTTATAAATGGGAAAGGGTGTCACAAACACACACACGCACACATGCACACACACAAACACTGCCCCCAACCTTGAGCACAGCCTACTGGGATGCCATTGGGAGACCACCATAACTCCATAAGCAGCAGCAGCAGCAGCAGAAGAGTTAAGGGCGTGAGAGCTGGGATTTTCCCACCTGGTGGTGCCCTTTCCTTTTGGTGCCGGAGGGAAGTGCTTAAGTCTGCTAAGTGCTTCCTCCAGGGCTGGCATGAGCCCAGTCTCTGGGCACGTGAGGCAGGGCAGAAAAGCACAGGCTCTTCGTGGCCAAGGCCGGGTGAGCACTTGAACCCAGAGCCAATCCATTGCTGGGGCTCAAGGAAGAAGTGACCAGCGGGCAGCTTCTTTGCCTGCAAAGTCAGTAGGGAAATCTTTCTGAACGGCTAAGCAGCCTCCCACCGAAAGCTCAGCAGCTGGTTCACACACACACACACACACACACACAACATTGATTTGACTTTTAAACAACCACCCTTAATGTGTTTGGAGTAAATCGCCCTTGTAAGCGAAACTCTAGCGTGAAAAGAAATAAAGATAAAGGGAAAGTAAGATAAAGGGAACTTATACTTAATATTACGTATCTTGACAGCAGCAAGAATTGTATTTGCACAGTACTGGAAAAATAAGGAAACACCTACAGAGGATGATGATGTAATTAAAAAAAATTAAGTTGCACAGAAATGGACACATTGACATTAAAAAGAATAGATACAGAATATTTTTCAAACATGATATTTGTTTTATAAATGATTGGACAACAGAGTTAAAAATTAGGAGTGGGGAAAGTATTATTGTATATAAATAAATTGACCCAGACTTTATGCTGCTCACTGAGCACTTATGTATGTCATGTGAAAACAAAGTGTTAAAAAAAAACCCCAAAGAGGTGTTTTACGACCTTTTTGCCAATCACTGCAGTTATTAAGCAAATGACACGGTCGTTAAACGAATCCAGCTTCTCTGGTGATCTCTGCTTGTCACAAGCGGCGATCCCCTGGGTTTAGGATACCACGACCATCACAACTACATGAATACACGCCAAGGGCCCAGGTTTTGATCGAGAGGGGGCTGTGACGGCCACTGAGTGAGAACCAGTCGTAAGTCAGTGCTTTTTTTCAGTGCCCCTTTTAACTTAGAACCGCTGCCAAGCGATGGTCGTAGGTTGAGGACTGCCTATGTATGAACCAATAGTTTCCATATCGCAATAATTTCTTACTATATTCAAGCTCTCCCTAGGCAGAAAATACGATAAAGCATCGCAGGAAAGTATGACTACATTTGCACCGATGGCAGAAGGCTGCAGAGTTAAGGGTGTGGTTGTGTTAGCTTAGTGCGTTTCCATTTCACGCCAGGCTAAACAAAATGGCCAACATTATCTTGGCGTAACGGTTACATGTGATTTCGCTGAGATCCTAGGGGTGTTGCATAACCAACGCCACACTGGGGGTGGGGGGTCTCAGCAGAGGAGGGGGGGAGGAAGACACAGGGACCCCCCCCGGAAGCGGCATTCAAGCGAAGGGGAGCCCCTCCTTAATCCTCTGGGCTGCCAGGGATGCTGCAGGAGCCGGCTTGGCCTGGCCAGGATCTCGAAGGGACTTTGCCCCAATCCCCGTTTTCCAGACTGGGGTGCAGACGGACCCAGCCTGCCCCGTCGCGGTCGCACACGCATCCCATCTACGCAAAGCCCTCCTTGGCTCAAAAAGTATCAAAAGGCATAGAAAAGTCTCGGTCAGAATCCAACGCGTAGAAAAGTGGAGTATTCATAAGAAAGTACATTTAAAACGAAGCCTCTAAAAATATTTCGGTGTGGCTGTATAAAACGGACCGAGGCGGAAGGAAGGCAAACAGAGACATGAAAGGACCGGAATGCTTATCGGCCGACTTTCCTGGCAGGGATGGGACCAAACCGGGAGGGGGTGGGGTGGGGGTTGCATCCTTCCCGAGGGGGGAGGTCAGTACGGTCAATGGCTCAAACTGGAAAGGCACCAGTTCCGCTCCATCTTGGGGAATTGGGATACAGGAAGGAGCCGGAAGGAACCTGTGGATTTAATACGAAGAGGAGGAGGGGACTGGAAGCTAAAAGATACGAAGACGACCGGTTGCAGGAAGCGGGCCTGGCTGGTCCGGGGAAGAGACGGACGAGGGAGTGGCAGGATAGCAGCCTTCCAGTATCCAAGGGGCTGCCCCAAAGAAGACGGAGCCAAGCTATTCTCCCAAGCCCCCGAGGGCAAGAGAAGGAGCAACGGATGGGAACTCACCAAGGAGAGAAACGACTCAGAACCAAGGAGGAATTTCCTGACAAGTTACAGCAATTAACCAGGGGAACAACCTGCCTCCAGAAATGGTGGACGCTTCAACTCTGGAAGTTTTTAAAAAGAGGTTGGATAACCACTTGCCTGGAATGGTGGAGGGTTTCCTGCCTAGGCAGGGGGTTGGACTAGAAGACCTCTCAGGTCCCTTCCGACTGTAATTCTATTCCATTCCATTCCATTCTATTCTAATCGGCTGCCCTCCCACCTGTGTTC